TACTAATCGCTAAAAGATAATCACACCTAGAAGCTGTACGTCAATCATTAATTCAATCCCACCAAAGATTTTATTGAACCATGAACTCTGTATAGTGAGTCAAAAAGAACAATCTTGCTTTGACTGACAGAGAATGGGCAAATCCGGCAGTACCTGTGTCTTTTTCATACCTCTACCTAGAGGGCAGAGGACGCATTTCATTCCAGTGAAGGGGAAATGAACGCTCTGAACACGCAGGCTGGCATGTGCTCAAACTGGCATGCCGGAGGCTCGATGGGCACAGCGTACCAACCACGCTCACAAACCCAGTGACCTTGGCAGTCTCAACAGAATGAACCCCTTCCTCACCGTACAGAGAGGGTTGCTTATTTCCGTCGAGTGACTGAGAAAAGAGGAAAAGACAGAAAGATGCGTCGAGAGAGGATTTGCACATGCTATAAATGTGAAGAGGACTCGCGGGTCAAGGCCTTTTGTTTTGGCTGGTGGTACTTCACTGGCAGGCTTTTGATGGCTCTTGTGAAGAAAACAAGCTCTCAGGTTTTGCCCACGGCCTCTCGACACTCAAGTGTTGTGATGAGCTTTGATAGACTTCAAACAGACTTTCCTTAGGCTAGTGGGTTATTAAAATGGGTGCTGTCTACTTCTTTTGGCTTCATGTCAGTATAGAGACGTCATGAATATGCCGTGACAGATTGCCTTTAAGCCTGGTCTAAATCCCACAGATCTATTTATATGAAGTAGTAATTTTACAGGCATTTTATATTTTTTTATTTATTGTTTTATTTTAATTGTTTTTTATTTATTTATTTATTTATGTTTTTATTTTATTGTTGCATTGACACTGTGCAAATGTTTGTGTTGGTCTGAACAGATGCATTAGCATACGTTCATTCAAATTAAAATGTTTATTGCACTGATCTCAATATTAATCTCGGTGTGAACAGGTTTTAATTCCCAAAAATAAAAAAATTAATAAATGTATTCTATAATTTATTTATTTAAATTTTGTTTATTCTGCAGCATGCGCATATATATATATATATATATATATATATATATATATATTGTATATATACAGCATATGTAACTCTTCATATATATATATATATATATATATAAGCAATCCTGCCCTTTGTCATGGAAATTAATATTAGTTGGTTCAGTCCCAACTGATGGCCTATAAAAAGGTGTCTCATTACCAACGTGTCACACAAGAAACATTTCATAATGGGTAAAAGCAAAGAGCTCTCTCAAGACCCTCACAACCTTATTTTTGCAAAACATACTGATGGCATTGGTTACAGAAGGATTTCTATAGTCCTGAATGTTCCAGTGAGCACTGTTGGGGCCATAATCCAGAAGTGTTGTACACGCTCACCATGCAAGACACCATTGCTGAAGAAAAAGCATGTTGAAGCTCATTTAAAGTTTGCTGGCTCTCATTCGGGTTCATAGAAAGAAAATAAAGCTGCTAGAATGGCCCAGCTAATCATCTGACTTGAATCCAATAGAAAATCTATGGAAAGAACTACAGATCAGAGTTCATAGAAGAGGCCCACAGAACCTTCAAAATTTGAAGACCGTTTGTGTGGAAGAATGGGCCAAAGGCACACCT